ATGCCAATTTCCCTATTATCTAAGTGTTGCAAAACATTGTGATTTTTTTTTTTTTAAATGTTAAGAAACATTGTGATTTTTTTTTTGGATCATGTTAGTTCTTTTTTATTTGTCTATCTAATTTATAAAACTGATATCTATTTTCCGTCGTATATAACTATGATATCTAATAGATTTTGGAGTTCGATCAAAATTGAATTCGTGAAAATCTCGATTTAATTAAGTTAGATTGCGATTTTGTTGTTCCGCATATCTAGCTCTTTTTACGTTCTCTCCTTTAATTATGAGTGTTTCTTTTATGTTCATGTGTTCAATGGTAGTTACGTTTATTAGATATCCGTCAAAATGTATAGTTTTGTTTCTCTGTAAACTTTTTGGACTATGTTTTTTGGTAAACTTTGGAGTTTTGCTTCCAGAATTTTCAAATTTGTAATTCGGTTCGCTTCTATATATAATAAAAAAATAATCAAACGGGAAAGAAGGTTAAAATTACATGGACATTTCGAGTTTCAAATCAAGCAGCGGAATTCTTCTCTAAAAGTCTTTTAAATTTGTAGGATCATAACTTCTAGACAAAAGATATTGAGTATTGATAGGAACCATTTGGGCCGACAACAAAAAGAAAAAAAAGTCAAATATTTGGGTTCCACACAACTTCCACTATTGAAACCAAAAAAAAAAAAAATGTTTACAGATCAGGCCCATTTAAATTGTCTACAGCCCAATATCAATCAATTTCCCAGATCGCCGGTTTGTCTCTCACACCTCCGCGACTCGGCCGCTTCATATCCCAAGTGAGAGATCTTCTTCTTTAGTATCCGTTTGGGTCGTGATTTTAATCTTTGCAATCTCTTCTTCTTCAATTTGTGATCTTTTTCTTCTATGATTGATTACCTATTGTTCGAATTGATTGTTTGAAATCATTATTCTTAAATTTGGATTTTGTTTGGATTTAAGAATATCGACCCTTGGTTTTGCTTTTCACTTGATTCTGAGCATCGCGAGTTAGTAATTTGATTTCAGATTGGTTGAAATCAGTTGTTATATTAGGAGAGCTTGAATCTCGATTTGGTTTTCATCATCGTAAAAATGTTCGATACTGGATTCTCGTGTTACTTTGGACAACGTCATCTGTAAGATAAATCTTCTGAAAATCGAAATAGAAACCCATTTGTGAGGACCTTTGATACTATCTATATATCTGATTCTAGCTCATGTCTCCTTTAATTCAGCAACTGAGACTGATTTATCAGTTTTTATGATCTTTAGATGGTTTTGAAACTTATGTTACAAATCCTTTGTCTTGTTTGTTAAACAAGGCTAATCTCATATCTACATGTTGACTCAGGGATTTTACAATGTACAGATGTTTTGTTTCAACTTTTCTCTTACTTGTTGTTTTGTTTGCCTTTTATGCTAGTACGTCTTAGCTTTTTCAGTTCATTAGTCATTGTGTATCTCTCCCTTGACTATGTTTCTTATGGTCTGAAACTGATTCCATTTTTTGTGTTTAGCTTCTCTCGAGAATCTCTTCTTTTTGGGTTTACAAGCCAAACGCTAGTTGCAATGGCACCATCACGTAACATCATTGTAGCCACCGGTCTGGTTGTTTTCGCGTCTGCAGGCTTAGCGTTCCCCTTCTACATGGCGTAAGAACCCTCTCTTTGTTCTCTCAACTGTTAACTCTTTTCTGATCTTGACATTTGTATTTTTTTCTCTAACATTTTGGTTGCAGATCGTCGAAAAAACCAGTGATAGATCCAACAAAACCATTACCTCCTCAAGCAACTTTTAGGGGACCTTACATAAACACTGGCTCACGCGATGTTGGACCTGACCATCAAAACTACCCGAAGAAATAAATCCAATTGAGTCAAGGCAATCACTACATACAAACTGTAACCAGGAGTTTTTTTTCAATGTTAGCTGTGTAGTATACACATTCATATATCCATTCCTAAACAATATCATTTCGGAATTTCTTAATAAGTTTGTGATCAGATCCATCTAAAGTCTTTAAGCTTCATGTAACTATCAGAAACAACCCTCTCTTTATGAGAAAACATACAAAACTTAGCTTAGTTACAAAATTACGGTTGATGCACTTTTCATGTGATAACATTGGATCTAGGAGGTCAAAATTGGTGTGTCAAGGATTCCGAATTTGGGTCAACTTCTAAATCAGAACTCATTTTGGAACATCATTATGATTTTGTTTTAAGTTATGGCCAATGTGAAATACTAAAACCCTCACTAAGGTTTGAGATTCTAATTAAAATCGACAAAGATATATATAAGCAAATGAAATGAAGTTGCCAAATCAACAACATCGGATAATTATCAATAATTTTAAGTAGAATTTTCATTTCATCTTTCCGAAATTAAGAAACCCTAATTCCCAAATTACATAGCCATTATAATTAAGTACCGACCCAAAAAGCTTAAAAGAAACTATTACACATTCCGACGATTACTACTACTTAGAACAAATCTAAGAACTCGTGAACTTGGTCACCGCCTTGGTACCTTCAGAAACAGCATGTTTCGCCAACTCTCCGGGCAAAACAAGCCTCACCGCCGTCTGAATCTCCCGGGAAGTAATCGTCGGCTTCTTGTTGTACCTCGCAAGCTTAGAAGACTCTCCGGCGAGTTTCTCGAAGATATCGTTGATGAAACTGTTCATGATCCCCATGGCTTTGCTCGAGATTCCGATATCTGGATGCACCTGTTTCAGAACCTTGAAGATGTAGATCTTGTAAGTCTCGACGCTCTTCTTCGACCGCTTCTTCTTCTTGTCTCCGGCGACGGAGGTTGAATCCTTCGGTAGCTTCTTCCCGGCTTTCGGTTTCTTCTCTGCAGCAGCCGCCGTGGTTTCTGACGCCGGAGCTTTCTCCGCCGGTTTCTTCTCCGCTGGTTTCTTGTCTCCCTTCGCCATTTTCGATGATACTGATTAGTTTAAGAGAATATTGAGATTGTGATGATTTGATTTTCGATTGTGTAATCCTCTGTTTATATAGAGAAAAGAGAAAGAGATCTTATTGGTTGACTTACGTAAACGCGGATCAGTGACGTGGCGATATGATTGCTGTTCGATGTGGATTGCTTTTATGAATGGATGGAATGGATTAGATCTAGTAACACTAAAAAGCGCGAGTTTCTGTTTTTTTTAAGAAACATTTTGTAAAAAATCGGAAATTTCAAAATATTTTGCTTGCGTTTTTTTTTTTTTGTTTATCCGCCAAAAACTAATGAGCGCCAATTTTTGGAAAATTTTACTTACTAAAATATTTGGCGTGGATAGCTGACGTGGTTACGTTTTAGCCATCCAACAATGAACGGCTACGATTATATAATGGCTCGGTGTCCGGCCACATAAACACATTGGTGCTACTAAAACAAACATAGTGGGAGAAGTGGATTATGTTGGTACAAATTCTGGTGGTATAAAAACTTAGGTTCGGTCGGATAATTCATTTTTTGCATAAAAGTCTGAATGATAAATAATAGG